GAGCCTCCTCTGGACTTAATGGTTTGAGTGGTAAGATTACAAATCTGGAGGCCAGGGTTCAATTCCCAGTTCAGCCATGTAAACCCACCGGGTAACCTTGGGCAAATCACGTGCTCTCAGCCTCAGGGGAAGGCAGTGGCAAACCTCCTCTGAACAAATTTTGCCAAGAAAAATTCATGATAGGGGGATTTAGTATTTAGGGACACCATAAGTCGGAAACAACTTGAAGGCACAACGCACATAGGTACTGAACATTTTCAGTTGTGCGTATACTATAGAGTACAGTCATTTCAAATTAGTGCCACTGTTGACAATGACATGAACTTAGGAAGAAAGCTGTATCTGAACCTTTATGATTTGGAACAAGAACATTTGAGACAGGAACTTTAGTGCATGACTCCGCCTTCAGGGTCACCTCCTCTGGTGAAGTATGCGAAACTTTTTGCCAACTACAAAGGAGAAGAGGAAAGTTGTGCATTGTGGCTGCTACTCAAATAAATGATCTGCTTCCCAAGTCCTCACTAGAAGCTCATGTTTCCCCCTTGGAACTGCCAGCACAGTAAGAGGTGCCACTTTCAGCAGATGGGACAGTCTGGCTTATTCACTGGTTGCTAAAGATTGCATCCTTTTGGACATTTTTGTGGTAAACCTCACCATCTGTATGTTACTGTATTGCCACATGGTTTTTTGAAGACATCATAATACCTTTTCTAGTAGCCCATTGTGTGTAGCCAAGCAGGAAATATTCTTCAGCCAACAAAATCAAATAAGATAAAATGAAAGGTTTGGGGGTTTTTTGCTCTTGTGTGATTCCTTAACCAAGAACTGAGGCAAAACTTGGATTTCACTAGCAACATCTGTGTTCCTGGAAAAATAAAATAAAATAAAATAGGGCTGTGCATTTAGAAAATACAACTTTTAGTTCCACAGCTAGGGTTGTTCTAGTTTTTAAAGAGCAGAACTTTCTATAACTTTGGTAAGATCTCAGCCCACCTTTTCTGTCTGTTGACTTATATGGAAAGCTGGACTTCCAGTGTATAAACTCCTTGAAGTACTGCCTGATCTATACAATCTAATTATAAGGATGTTTACTCAGAATGACTCCTGTAAATTTGTATGAATTTTGAATGAGAGCCAGCATGGTGTAGTGGTTTGAGTGTTGGACTCTGGAGACCAGGGTTCAAATATCTTCTCAGCTATGGAAACCCACTGGGTAACCTTGGACAAACCCTCAGAGGAAGGCAAAGGCCTCTGAACAAATACTGCCAAGAAAATCCTGTGATAGGGTCACCATATGTTGGAAACAACTTGAAGGTATACAAGAACATTTTTAGGATTGTAGTCTTTCATTTACTTCATTCATTTAGTTGTATTCAAGTGTGTTCTGCAGATACACCAATTAATGATCATAGCTCTTGGTTTTCCCACCCTGTAATGGATTTGTACTGTGCAGTATTATGTGAGTGTGGGTTTGCTAGCATTCACTTTAGTGATACCTTGTATGTGATGGGTGGATGTTATTCTGAAAAGTAGAATACCACAAAAAATTGTCATATTCCATAAAACTGACCCGACGTTAGAGAAAAAAATAATGGAGAGTTCTTTTATGTATGATCTCGACAGCTAGACTGTTAATAGCGCAGAGTTGGAAAAAACTAGAATTACCTACAGTGGATGATTGGTTGTTGAAGCTAGTAAGGAGCCCTAGTGGTGCAGTGGTTAAATGCCTGTACTGTAGCCACTCACTCATAGACCACAAGGTTGTGAGTTCATTACTAGCCAGGGCTCAGGCTAGACTCAGGCCTGCATCCTTCCAAGGTCGCTAAAATGAGTACCCAACTGTTGGGGGGCAATGAGCTTAAACCGCTTAGACATCCTATAGCGCAGCGGTCGGCAACCTATGGCCGTCGCTGTTGGGCAATCCAAAATGGCACCCACCGCTGGATGCCAAAATGGCACACGCACGCATGCGCACAGTGGCAGTCGCCATTTTGGAAGGCCCAATGGCACCGGCACCGTGCAAATTCGCATGGCGCTGGCTCCGTTTGGCCTTCCCAAATGGCATTCCGCGTCACATGCATGTGCACAATGTGGGTGTCATGCGCATGCGTGTGCATGGGGGCAAGTGCGCACCCGCCCGCCCCCAGCGCCATTTCCCCCCACCTCCTGGCCCCCAGCAACAAAGGTTGCCGACCCTTGCCATAGCACAATATGAAGCGGTATATAAATGAAGCTGCTTTGCTTTGCTTTGTTTTAGAAATGAAAGAAATTGACAGATTAATAGCTTTAGTAGACCAAAAAGATTTAGAGAAGGCCAATAAGGAATGGTTACCAGTTGTGGAATATAGTAATAAAAGATGGCAGTGAAAAAGCAAGTAGAACTGTGGGAATGATAAGAAAATTAGATTTTAAAAAAGGAGATAAGATTGTAATTAGATGCGATGTATGGGTATGATTGCCTTCTTTTTGAAAGAGCTGTTATTAAAACATCAGAGACAGAAAAAGACTTTAGGAAAATCATGAGTATAAATGAAGGTATTTATTGTCAAAAGAACTTTGGAAGTATTGTAATGTAAGATGATGATCTGATTATATTTAAAACTTTGATTGTATAAATGTATTTTTAGATGTTTATATAGTATAAATAAAGTAATTTTAAAAAAATTGTCATATTCCTGTGTTATATGGATTCTAGGTCAAAAGCAAGTGTGATGGTGAATACCACCATTACTAGACCTTCTTTTGGCCAAGAATCTGAAAACTTGGTGAATTATGTTCCAGACCAAAGGACAGACCAGAGATTTTCTGATTTGTGCTAGATGCCCAACGGCATATAAACAGTTTGATTTAAACTTGGATTACCAGTTGTGTAAACTAATATATCTAATGCCCCATTTTAGATAACAAAAAGAAACATTTAGCACAGTTGGCAGAGAGGATTTAAAGCAGTGTGTTTTAAACCAGTAATTTAAAGCAGTGAGGAGAAGAAACTAATCAAGTTTCTTATTGATAGTGTTTCATAGATTTCCTAAACAATAGTGCAAATCTGATCACTAAAATGCATTGATAGAATATTACTTATTTTCTTCCATTTTCACCACCAGTACTTTCAGCTTTTTGTTGGCCCATCTGGGACCCAAAGTCCATGTATGCAGAAAACTGGCTTTTTGTCACTCTTCAAAGCTTGGGAAAGTTACTTTTTGGATGGCACCTCCCAGAGGTTGCCAGTGGCAGATTCTTTGGGGGGGGGGATAACATTTGAACCTCTGACTACGTGTTTTGCTTGGTTCCCCACTATCACCTTTTTGAACCACTAGAAGTAATGTTTTTCAAATATTCCCATATAGTATGTTCCTCATGAACAACATCCATGAGCATTTTTGAGATAAAATAAGGGAATACAGGAATCTGATCAATGGGCACTTATTTTACCCCCTTTCTGACATTACTCCTTTGTTCTTCATTTTTGCATTTTCCTAGTCCCAGTCTCATAAACAAAGCAGTAAATAAGAATTGCCTATCATGGACAACTTGAAGGAAGGTTTTATAGTTACTAGATTGATTACAGAGCAGTCTGTTTTCATTACCCAAGAATGAAATGCCTTTTTGTTTGGTGGTATGTATGATATGCTTTAAACAGGGATGTGTCCAGGTTTGTAGATATTAACATAATTATAGTTTAAGACATTGCTACTAAAAGTGGTATTTCTGGACTGTTGTTGGTCTGCAAGCCATTGACGGCAGCCAACAGAGAATTTCCTAGAGGTAAAGAAACTGTTGTAGCTAATTGGCACATATATGGTACCAGTTCTTGGCATAATAGGGGAAACATTACTAGTTCCCCACTCCACATAGCAGGAAAAATGCTGGTTTGAGAAAACCTTAAATTTTACAACTTTAAAAACCCTGACTTAAAAAAAATAAGCACTTTTTATCCAGTCTGTGGGGGTCAGCATAACTTTCTGAAATATTTGCATTATCCTACTGCAAAGATTGTTTATTTTATTTCATTTCATTTTATTTCTATCCACCTCTGTCCCCAAAAGGGACCCAAGGGTGGTTCACAATATAAAAACGCAGTAAAACAAGATTTTTAAAACAATTAAAATAACCTAATTAAAACACTAGAAGATTAAAATTTAAAACATACAAAAGTTAAAAACATAATCTAAACCAACCTCTTCCCCCCCCTAAATAAAACCAGGTTTATATGATTTTTAAAAGCTTTCTTGAATAAAAATGTTTTTGCTTGCCAGTGAAAGGCCAGCAGGGAAAGGGCCAGCCTAGCCTCCTGTGGAAGGGAGTTCCACAGGATAGGAGCATCCACTGAGAAGGCTCTCTCTCGTGTCCTCACCAAATGAGCCTGGGATGGTGGTGGGACCGAGAGAAAGCCTTCTCCTGAGGATCTTAGGGCTCTAGCTGGTTCATATGGGGAAATATAATCTCTCAAATAGTCTGGACCTAAGCTGTGTAGGGCTTTGTAGGTCATGACCAGCACTTTGAATTGTGCTCAGAAACAAACTGGTAGCCAGTGAAGCTGTTTCAATACAAGACTTATATGTTCCCTATAACTGGCTCCAGTCAGAGTTCTAGCTGCGGTGTTTTGGACCCATTGAAGTTTCCGAACAGTTTTCAAAGGCAGCCCCATGTAGAGTGCATTACAGTAGTCCAAACGGGATGGAATCAAGGCATGTGTCACTGTAGCCAGCTCTGATGTCTCAAGAAATAGGCGCAGTTGGTACACTAGTTTTAACTGTGCAAATGCACTCCTGGCCACTGCTGAAACCTGGGCATCCAGGCTCAGAGTGGAGTCCAGGAGAGCACCCAAGCTGCAAGCCTGAGATTTCAGGGGGAGTATAACCCTATCCAGCTCAGGCAAAGCCCCAGTTCCCTGATCTGCCTTATGACTGACTAGGAGCATCTCTGTCTTGTCTGCATTAAGCTTCAATTTGTTTGCCCTCCTCCCATCCATTACTGACAACAGACACTGGTTCAGCACAGAGACAGCTTCCTTGGAGTCAGATGGAAAGGAGAGATAGAGTTGGTTGTCATCCACATACTGATGACATGCACCCCA